GGTCACCTCGCGTGGACAGTCACGTCTGTATGCCGTCAGAGCTAACGAACAAAGACACTTGGCTAGGCTCGACGCCTCAGGAAGCCTCCAAACGTCGCTAACATTTGGTCCGGCTAATATCCTAACAAATAGGACCCTCATTTACAAAACGTCTGCTAATTACTCTGTTATCGCTACACTCACCGCAGTTCCGTCCTTCTAGCCTCATGTGCCCCTGGTGCATTATGTCTCATGAAGTCATTAGCTGTCTTATTCACAACAATGTCATCTTTCGGGCTCTCAAGAAGTCTGGTCTGTTTTTTAATGTTCTTGTCTCTACATGAAGAATGAAGCTGAGAAATGTGCTCATTCTATATTTTCATTGCATTTTAGCAACTTTCCTGAAAAAAATAGTCGAAAGTTACTATGCGCGAAAATTCGAGGTCCAGATATAATATTCCTTTTATCACCTCCGGAAGAGGAAGAAGTAGAAGGGGCAATTTCTGGGACCAAGTTGTATTTTAGCTGACGGAGATGATGAAAGGAATATTATCGAAAGTCCACTACTTTACAAAAGACTCGATATTTCGCTTAGTACAGCTTCTAACTGCTTATTGACACTGGTTCCTAGCGCTCTGCAAATAGGTACAAAATAACATTATCGACAAGGACACTGGAAACTGGAATGGTCGTTTGCGGCTTATTAGCAGTCATAACCTATTCATACCTAACCCTAGATTTTATAACTCCCCGTCAGAACGTTGGAATTCTAGCTAGCATGTTGGCTATGGCTCGTCCTGTTTATTGATTGTCCACACACAAAAAAGATAGTACTTAAATGTTTCTATACCTATGCTTTCGCCATGCTGCATATGGGAAGATATTCCCAACGTTGTCAAAGGCAACAGTTTCAGGAATGGAGGTGTTTTCTTCTTCGTTTCTTTTACGTCACGACGAAAGATGACGCTATTCCAGTCTGCCTTGTGTCTGTCTGTTATGTTATTCAGAGTATAAAACTAGCCGCTGTGTGACTGCTAGCGAATGAATAGGTCCGATAAGTTCGTAAACAAATTACTATTCCAAAAATGTATCTGTTAAGGTTTGTGTTTATGCACTTGCAAAAGTTCGCTTGAAATGCATCTGCTTTTCTTCCACTCCTAATTTATCATCTTATCCACTACAGTTCACACAGTCTTTGAAATAAGTTTCAACGCCTGTTACCCGCATCTACTCCTATTGTTGATGCAGCCTTCTTTGAAAAGCAACACTTTCTGTTTTATCTTCGCGCTACCGAAATGTAGTGCTCTTTTTCTAGCAAATTATTAAGCTACCTTCTGTATTTTGGTGTTCGTCGTCTAAATCACCGTAACTAACTTCGAGGGTCAAGACAGTTCCACTAGTTACCCGTGCGGATTGCATGTTTGTATTGTGTGTTTCCCTGGCCTAAACTGGCAAGACAACGAGCTCGAGACTCAATGGTTAGGGCATTTGACGCTGGCCAAAAAAGTCGCGATTTCGAAGCTCCGGTGGGGCTCCACTTGGGTCTGGGTATAACTGGCTGAGGACGCCCAATAAACCAGAAATGGCCGGCAATACTATCTCTTTTTTCTTGTCATCGCGGTACCTTCCCTAG